TTCAACTCCATAAACTTTTCAAAAACTATATTTGCAATTCTATTGTATAACAAGGATTTTGAACATTTCACAATAATGCTTTTGAGTAATCTGTTTTTCGATAATCTACTTGAGTTTTGGTCCTAAAATTTCAAACATCATTTTAGTTATCAATAATATTCTCAAATACTACGTTTTAAGACTCTTATATTTAAAACAAGCTTTTCAAGTGTTTCTCCATAACCTTATCGAGTAATCTTCTTCTTGACTAAGAACTCGAGTAAAGCCTTTTTGTTTTTGAACCTTAAATTCTCTATGAAAAAGCTTTATTCAGTATGTTCTTGAGAACATTTTCAAATAAGCACTTACCTGAGTTAGAGTCCATAGCTTTCATATTCTATTCTAACCTTACTCAAAGAGCAAAAAAATTGTATCAAATGTTTATCTCATGCTTTAACTAACTATTATATTTAATGAGAATATCTTGTGCAGATTGGTCAAGCAAGGAAAGGAGGTATCATGTTGAATTTTACAATGTTGGATGATCAAGAAGAAGAAGAAATGAAAGCGCTCCACTAAGGAGCATACTCGATCATGTCCTTGACTAAAAGTAGCTAAGAATGGAAAAACTAAAATCAAGTCATCTTTGCAACATTACTTGATAAAGTAATTGAATAATATCTGACTAGACAAAGTTCTTGACTAAAAGCATGAACAAGAAAAAAAAAAACTTGCAAAATCAAATGAGAATATCGAGATTCAAATTCTTAAATTTGATATTGGAGGTTGCCATGCTCAATTAGAAGTTAGAGTGTCTCAATTGGAAGTTAAAATGCTCAAGCTAGAAGTTAGATCATCATACATTGATTCATACTCCATCAAAATTCAAATATAAACTTTAGAGATGATTTTTACATGTTTTACTCAAGTATATCTTTGAGTTGCATGTTACTCCGACGCTTATTCTAGTAAACACATACTTTGTATGCTCTATTCTCCATTCAACTCTAACTCATATTTGGTTTTTCTATAATATCTTCTAAACTACAAATCTGTTTGATGTGAAATTTAATTCATATGAAACTAGACTCAGAACATGATTTATGGACACTAAGTTCAATTTCAAAAAGTTTCATATGAAGGAAATATACTGCTCAAAATATGCTACTGAGATTTCATGCCTTGTCTTTGACCTTTAGTGATGAAGTTGAACATATCTTCATATTACAAAGAATTTTGGAATGGGACTTCTTGCATTAGAAAGTAAACTTGAAGATCTTTTTGTTAATAAGTCATTTGCCAAATTTGAAGTTAAAATGAGCGACTTATGACTACTTAAAATTGACCTTTGTTTTGCTTGCTTCAGACTCAAAGATACTCAAACATCTCCTCGTGTTAGACCAAAAGTTGTGTTTTCTAGTTCTTACATGAGCACATACTCGAGTAACTTCGAAATGGAAAAGTGAATTTACTCAAACACTTATTTGAGTCATCCCTCATTTCCTACATGATTCCCAATCTCACTCAAACAAATAATCGAGTCAGAGATAGTCTCTTTGTACTCTATTTCTCTAATGGGTTTAAATAAAAGTTTAAATATTTTAATACTCCATCTAAACATGGTTGATGCTTATGAAATGTCTTAAATCATCTAACAACATTTTTAGCAAGAGATTAAGCAGATTAAGTCACAACATATTGATGACATTGCTAATTAACTTTTTGTTAGAAACTTCCAATAGCTAGTTTCAATAGTCATATTCTTCAGGCCAAACAGGAAGATGTTCAACTGTCAAATCCTCAATATCATCTATAAATAGAAGAGCATTCAATTTGGAAAAGAAGAGAGAGCAAGTGCATACACAATGTCAAAATTATGAGATTCTTACTTCTACATTCAAAGCTCCGTAATTATGTTCTCATCATGCTTTCATGTTTGAGAAAATCTACAAAAGAATGCTTTCATTGTAAACATTAATCTTTGAGAGAGTTGCTCAAGATAGAGGGATCTTGAGTGGGAAACAAATTTTAGCCTTACAAGTTATAAAAATGAGTGGTTCTCAAGTACCCGCAGAAAACTTGAGGGAATTGTAGTGGTTCTCAAGTACCCAATTTAAACTTGAGAGATATAGTAAATTAAAAATCTCAGAAGTGTTTTGAAAACTGAACGTAGGTCTATGGAGAAATCTAACCAAGATAAATTATAATTTGCATCTTCTCGTCCCTTACCTCTTTATATTTCTAGCTAAACTATTTTACTTCTCTGATTGTGCTTCTATTGTTCATTATTTTTTTGCTTTGAGTTTTTTATGGTTCTCACTATATTGTGAAAAAGGTTTTTGATTTTAATCAATACTCAATTTACTTACCTCTTAGGTGATAAACCATTCTAACACCTAGGATGTTAGAACCAAAACAAAAAGACCTTCCAGATAGCTAGCTACTTCAATAGAAAAACTTGTTCTCTTCGTATAAATTCACAATTTGGCACATCAAAGGCAACAACAACTCCTTTGCAGATTTTCTCTCAAGACCCTAAAAACAAATATAACTCATTACTCCTTCTCATACTACTCCTTCCCAACCTCTTTATCTGTTAGCCATAACTAAAATGTCTGCCAAGGCAAGAGTCAAAACCATTTTACCCCAGGCTCTCATCCAAAAACCATAAAGAAGTTCATCAACTAGCTAAAGGAAGCTTATTCTATTGGTTTTACCATCTCTTTAACAAGACACAGATTTAGCCATATCCTGATCATTTTAATATTCAACTAGTCACCTGACTCTTCTTTTTATCTAGGGTCCTATTCCTGATGAGTCAATGAGGTATTTATTGACCTTCTATGCCTATGTCTTTGCTCTTCCTCCTCTTTGAATTTATCATTTTAATTTCTTTACTAAGATCTGAAAAAATGAGTGCTCCAATCTGTGGACACTCCTTGGGTGGTTCTCACCATTACCATAATAGAGAAAAGATCTTTATCAAGTCCTTGAGATGCATAGCCTGCGGATGATCCCTTTACAAAAGCTAAAAAAGTCATTGCGTTTTTACAGTACACAAGCCTTAAAATATTGACTCACGTGGTCAATTTTATATGGCTAGTTAAAATACCATGGTCACTCTTAAAATGTTCTTATGAGACCTTAATAATCAACAAGGTAATGATCCTGAATTGAAGTGTACTTCTCTTAGTCCTATACCATTTGAGTATTCTATCCCAAGAGAACCTAGAATGCTAAAGATAGACACCTCTAATGAATAGTGGTTAGAAATGTCTCAACTACAAGTCACAAAAGCACAATCATCAACTATCCATAATCAGGAAGCACTACGACTCTTCCATCCAGATTCTCAAGACCCATATAAGCTAGATATACGATATACATAAAATTATCCTGCTTGTTATAACTAAGAAGCTAAATGATCAAATCCTAGATGAATAGGAAGCAAAAAGAGCGATGGGACTTTAACACAAGTTTCGGAATAATGAAAAAAAGAAGTACTCTAATATCTCACATGACTAGAAACCTATCTGCAAGACTGAGTGGCGATTTGATTCCCAGCCTCCGCATGACTTATCGCATAAAAAGTTGCCTTCATTACTATTTACCTTTCAGCATCTTCATTTGTCCCCTTGTGAAGACACAAGTGTCATAAAACTATGTTGCATGTATTTTTTAGTAGTTATTTGTATTTTGTCTTTTAGTGTTGTCTTGATTATAGGGTATGCATGAACCTTGTAACTTGGAGTTTCTTGTGCATAGGATGCACATGCATGCATTGGATGTAGATGCCATAAAAGAAAAAGTTGTGGCAAGAATGAATAGTGTAAAATAGGCTGTCTAAGGGAAAAGAAGTGATCTGAAAACCGAACGACTTGCACATTCTCATATAAAAGATGTTCTAGTGTGTTTCCATGAAATCTATTTAAATCTTCTCTTTTATGAAAACTTGAAATTGTAATATCTTACTTTTGTCTTCAGAGATTCAAGTATGCTCTACTTATGCCAAAGAGATTGATGTCCTAATGTGGCCTAGCATTTGATTTATTAATGAGGCCTTACTTTGGACTCAGATCTCTAAGCACTTGGACTGTGTTGTCTTAAGTCTAGATGACTAATTTGATTTAGACCATATAAACAAACATCCAACAAGTAAGACACCAGTAGTTAAAAAATTAAAAAAAACATAGTTCAGTCCAGAAATCGTATGAGAACTAAATTGGGTTTTACATAAGAGAAGTGGACATTAACAGAGCACAAAAGAAGTACACATGATAACTATCTTCAGTTTCTAACTTTTCAAATTATGCGTTAGATTAAAAAGAGGGTCTTAAACCAATTGATGGAGATTCAACATGGTTGAAGTGATTTTTACGTGCCTTGTTAAATAGATTAGCTTCGGCTTGGTTCCATCTCGGCCAGCCCATTTACAAGTCACATTACTTCACCTTAGAGGCACCCTCTAGTGGTCTTGAAATTTTTCAACCGAGGTTGAAGTTTACTTCTTACCCCTAATATGAACATGATAAATTTATGCATTATGCATGGCAATCTAAAGAGCAAGTCCTGAATGCATATAGTCACTCCAACATTTTAGTACAGATTATGGAAAATTTTCCATTGTTATATAGCACATGTTGTTTTAATGTCCTGAAGTAATCCCTCCCCGCCCCCCCGGGGCCCCCAAATCCCCTCCCAACCCCAACCCCAACCCCAACCCCAAAAATTAAAAAAAGGCTAGTTCATTAGCAAAAACCAACATCTTATGGCCCAAAATCATAAGAGAATATCCAATTTGCCCCTAGTCAGTTCATCATCCAAAAACATTTACAAGTCAACATTTCTTTTAGAGCTTGATCATAGACTAGGGGTGCCAATTCGTTTAATGCATTCGAAATAAATCTCCCAATGACGCTTCCATTGTAATCTGATCGTAGGACAATAGTATATTGGTCACTTTTTCAAGTCCAATGGAGTCAAGTTCTCCAAAATAAGCAAAAATCACAAAATCAGATTATGTGAACTTATTTTCTTCATCTTCCTAATTTCGAAAGGGCTTTATAAACTTACAAATTGAAAATTCAAATTCAACATTCATCAACTTTCAAGTTGTTACATGCATATAAAATTGAGCTTCCAGCAACAATTACAGGACGATTTGCACTAACCATGACATACGAACAAACTAATACTTAGCTCATTTGACAAGGACAAAGACCAATTTGACAAAATGAAAACCTCGAACCAAATTAACAGCTTGGAACGTTCAAGGACAAATAGTAAGTAAACATCGCAGAAACAACCTCCCATCCACCCAACCTCTTCAAAGAACAAAAAAGGTTGCTATTGACGAACGAGATATCTGAGGTGAATAGAAGAGAGGGAAAAGGGGGGAAGGGGGGACATTACTTCAGGATGCAGTGGGTTCAGCCCCATCATGTAGAGCACAACAAATTGTAGCTTTATGATGACCTTGGTAAACCCTAATATCTTCCCCAGTTGACATAGACCAAAGCCTGGCTGTTGTATCAGATGAAGCTGCAATAACAAGATAATGTTGGCTTAAAATAATTCAGAATATCTTTGATTGGAAGAGGATGAAATGAAAGGGAAAGGGAAAGGGAAAGGGAAAGGGAAGGGAAAGAAAAATAGTTGGTAGGTGGGATGTGAAATGGCACTTGCCTCCTTGCTTTAAAAAAATCATACACTTATTTGCTGTGTGCGCGCATAGTTCATTAATGATAACACAAATATAAAGGACACTACCTCCAGTCTTTAAAATAAAAGCTAGTTTGATATTTCATTTGGTCCTAAATATAAGATCTCAATCCATTATCTTTTATATTTATACATTTTTTCCAATATAATTCTTGTAATAATTGTACATGTTAAAAATTCCATCAAATGATAGTTTTAACTAATACACATGATTAGTAAAGGTATTTAAAAAAAAAAACAACACATTTATTACAAATAACTAAAAACATTTCTTAATCTACTCAAATTAGTCAACTGCCTCTTATATTTAAGACTGGAAGTAGTATTACACAATAGAAGTTTTCCTCTTTTCTTATCTCACTCTTCCTTTCAAGGGTCCCAAAAGTGCCTTCATACATTCTACTTCGTACAAAAATTCTCAATATCGAAATTGACAATTTGACGGTCCAAGGAGGAAAGGCAAGGAATCAAGGAAAAAGAATAGACAGAATTAATAATTATCAACCCCTGTTTTAAAACATCTCATTAAGCTCTATTATAGTTTGTTTCATTACCACCTAACTAATGATTTTAATAAAAAAAATCAAGTCAAAGTTAAATCGATAAACAGTCTCATTATTGGAAGCATGTATTGTTTCCATCCTTTAAAACTAGTACATGGAGAAAAATGATATTTTGCCATGGAAGCTATCCATTTTAGCACTGTAACATCGTGAAGATGTTCAACGTATATATGAACCAGATGTTTAATGATGAAAATGTTGATCCATTTAAATATTTCATAGGGTGGTTATTTGACAGTAAAACAAACTACTCATCCCGCCCTTAATGTAAAATCTATTTGTTGAGCTGACTTTGATTTTGAATATAAAACCTATTTCTCACATTTATCAATTTTTCTTAAATTACTCCTATTGATACTCTTTCAAACATAATCAAGTAGGAGAGGGAGGGAGGATATTAAGGAAGATGATTATGGTGTTTTAAAAAAAATCATGTTTTTTATAATTAACTAACTTACTTAACTTCCTCAATCTAACCAAATTAATTAAATAGGTCTTATATTAAGGACCAGAAGAGTAATATTTTTGAGTCTCAACCACGAGGATATTAAATAACACACTTTGGACTTTAAACTGCCCTAGGGCAGACTCATAAGTGCAACTGGATAAGCTATAAGTTGCACAAAGTAATATTTATAGTTGACTGAAGTATTTAGTCTTCGCAACTTATTGAGGCCGCGAAGCAATATTCCTAGTCGACTGAAGCATTTAATTTTGGCAACTTATTGAGGCCACAAAGTCGCTGTACTGTTCAAAAACTACCATGTACCTGTAATTAGGTAGGCACCATCCACAGAGAAGACACAATCCCACACCCAGCGCTGGTGACCTGCAATGCACAAATTATTGAAGGCAGTTAAAATGCTTCGGAGAACACGTGAAGCAAAGAAGCACTAAATGTGCAATTGACTTGATGAACTACCAATCAGAGTCTTCTCTAATGTGAAACCGTCAACATTCCATATCTTGACAGTATGATCAGAAGATGCAGTAGCCAAATACCTAGCAAAAATGAAGTCAGCCAAAAATTTCAATAACAGTAACACTATACCGGATCTCTCCAATAAGGATCTCACTCAATAAATCTCAGTAGCCAAGGATAAATTCCATCACGAATGAATGAAGTAAGAATCTCACCCTACACACCCTCAACAGCCAAGTCAATGGAGAACCTCCAATTAATGCAAATGATATTTTATTTCTCAATTCTAATCCATAGGAAATAGCTGGGTTATTTATAAAAGATAAATATAACGGAAACACAATCTGAAAATCCCTAGGACATAGAAAACAATCTCTCCTAAAACATAATTGACGCTGGTGGACCTTCTAACTGCATAATGGTCCGTTTATTTCTCAACAAACTCTAAAAGTAATTTAAAATAAAATATCCCAGTAATTCATTAATAATAAATTTTGACTCAGTCAGCCCACAGAATCAGTTTCATCCACTTTCATCTTTTTTTGCATCTGATGAGTCCTTAGATGATAGCTTGGGATCGTATCAGAGATCATGACACGTTCTTAATAATGGACTCAAAAGTCTTGTGCGTAGAAACTCGATATAAGCAAAAAAGAAAATCATTATAAAGTCTACCGAAACAGAAACTTATTATAAGCAATTATACAATCCCAAACCTGCCTTAAAAGAAAGAAGGAAAAAATTACGTCGTAGAAAAATTGAAGTTTCATTTGTTAGAATTCATTTAACAAAAGATTTTGTACATGACAAACTTTTAATCAGTAATCATTTGCACATTTTTTCTTTTGGGACAGAGTATGTAGACCATTTACTAGACCCTGACTCTTATTGATGACCAAAAGATTCTCATAATATTTTAGTCATAAGTTTGTCATGAAAGTGTCTCACTGATTATATCTTAACAAGTAGTTATTGTATTGATGACAAGTGGTCAATCAATCACAAAAGATTACCAGGTCTTGATAGGTTTGGCAAGGAACAAAAAGAAAACCCATCAAAGTATTAATATGCACAACCTGTGGGGTTCACAGAACTCAGGTGAAAGGAGACATTTGAGAATGTAGCCCCTGTGTGCTTGCAGCTTATGAAGTGGCTCAAAGTTTGTCATTGTCTGCACGAAACTCCAAAAGAAAAAATGAGTTAAGTTAAAGGCAAGACAATGTGGATAGCTTCAATGTGTAAAAGGGCACAACCTGAGTTCCACGCAAAAGACGCCATACATAACACGTCCCATGATTATTTGCCGCAACTACTAAGCTTCCATCCCACATTACTGTTAAAGAGCGCACGGCTGTGTCCACTTCTGGCACCTACATTTCCTCAGGAGGTTGATGATAATGTTTCATCCATATATCACAGAAAGAGAGAAGATACAACAGAATGCATTGAAGACAATATACCAAAATTAAAGAGATTGTTCCATGACTTCCCAATTTCCAGCCAGGAATATAACTATATTCCGACACAAAAAGACATCCTGTTGGCGTAACATAATTTTATATATATATATTATATGTGAAGTCAAAGTTATGGCAACATGTGCCTGAAACACTCACACTTATAAAGCAGCATGGTTTAATGTCAATATATTTCTTTCACTCCATCTATATGATAACAAAGAATGGATCTAATATTTTAGAACGAACATTCTACAAGACAAAACATCCAACAAGATATGTCATACCAATTCACAGCTGCATGAGTTAGCTGTCAAATCCCACACACGTATGTTACCATTTTGGTCACCAGATATTAGTTCAGTCTGCCATATCAAAATGCCAAATGAATGATAATTGCGAAGGAATTGAGATTAAAAGCCTAATTGGAGAAAGATAAAACAAGAGACCATAATGAACGGAGAACATTTAAGACATAAAAGTTGGCAGAAAACAAATGACACTAAAGCATGACCGCAATGTAACCATGTTAATGCAGGCCTCGGAAGCGTAGACATTGGTACAGACAGGGACTCAAAACTGACAGAGACAGAGCAACACCACAACATCTCAAGTGTCTGTATGCAATTTAAATTCTTGCAATTTCTCTAATACAAGTGTAAAACATGTATTGGACATGGACCCAGCTCCCTTTTGAAGTGTACGTGCTTCATACACTGGTCACAATCCATTGCATACAAAGCCAAGTAAAAATCCACAAATGAGGATCAATCATCTTAACAAAAGTCGGTTTCACAGTCTCAAGGTAGCTCAAAGGATCTTTTAAATCTAGAGAGACACAATAGGCTATTTTGTCATTTTTTTTTAAAAATCAAACTATATCAGCCAAAGCCATCCCCCAAAAAGCTAATAGCAAATTATTTTAGCATTAATTAGACTATGCTTTCTCAAACTTCCCATCGTGTTCAAATGACAGTCCAACTACTAAGTTCTAATATGAATCGCCATTATTTGCAGCTCGATATCTTGCAAAGACAAGCCACCAAACCACACTTATGGTGAGCTATTGCAAGAAGTAATTAACCAACATGCCAAAAAGTGGCAAGTAAATTAAATAAAACAAAGAAAAAAGTCATAAAAACCTAATAGGCAATATGTAGAAAGATCCCTTTAGCCAAAGCTATTATGAAATTCACATCGTAATTATCACGCATTATCTCTCCTCAATATTTGTGTAGTCAATAATATAATTCGAACCCAGAAGCACCTTCAACTTCCCCAGATAGACGGTCAAACATAACCTGATTTGGATGTAGCACAACAGTATTCACTGCTGCACGACTTTCATATTCTCTCTGACAACCTGGTGCCCTGCATTTTTCATCGAATTAAGCCTACCACTAGCAGATTTTAAGAGCATGAACTGATACTTCAGAAATGCATTGGAAGAGATCAGATTCACCTTAAATCCCAAATCTTAACTGTGCCATCCTCTGAACCTGAATACATCCAATTTCCATCGCATTGGAACCCAACTGCCATTACATTATTAGTATGTGAATCATAGCTCATTACCTGCCACACAATTGGGAACAGAATGCTCAGGAGCCAGAAAGGATGTTGATTCTGAAATTATCATATTAGTAGAAAAACATACTGGTTGAGTGGTATTTGAGTTAACATCAAATAATCGTATGTGAGGATTACCCGCTGCTGCCAGGTAACGTTTATCTGGGGTTATTTCAAGGCGATTGACTTGCTACATGAATCAGATAAAGAAAAGTCAGTAGCAATATGTGGATCTTAAAAGCATCATAAACAGTTCCTCATCATAAAGCAGAAACATCCTAAAAGTACTGTATCAACATGGAAGCAAAACATGACACAATAAGAATTCTGCAACACAATAGAAAATGCAGTTTCTAGTTGCAACTCAAAGTTTTGTCATGCATTTGATACAAGTTTCAGATGCGAGACAGAATATGTGCTTTTCAGGCATTGGCACTTCAAAGGTAACAACATTCAACAATAAGAATACATCAAAACAGATAGTTTTTTCACATCAAAATTTAACATTAAACATACAAGTTTAACTCATTCAAGTTATTCATTTCCCTAAAAAAATGTGGAAATCCTCCACGATATTAGGAGATACCGAATTGGGCTTAATACCCAGATTTGGTATTATAGGCACTTAAATGTAAATATTTTATTCTTTATTTCATTGTATATTCCCCGATTTGCTCCCTCAAATCTCGGCCTCTCACTAATCGGCCAAACCCCTCTCTAGTTGTATAGATCTCAGCCTCAATATGTGAATGACATGTAGTTGAATCAGACTACCTCATTCTTTTTCATGGTATCAGAGCAACCGAAGAACACATCCTCTATTTCATCCAATTTTTCTTCCTCTAATACGGAGTTGAACCTTCGTTCAGACATGTCACATTCAATGTCGTTTGGACTTGAGGGTTCCTCAAATTTGAATGAGTCTTCATGACTTGCCTCAATGAGTCTGGAGACTTTGTTCGTGATGATCATGCCCGAGAAGCTCACCAGCGACAATTACAGAGATTGGGCCCAATCCATAACTCTGGCTCTCAACGGCACAAGTAAGCTCAGCTACATCATAGGTGATAATAAGGCACCACCATCGTCGGACACAAGAATTTCAACTATGGAAGTCTGAAAACTCAATGGTCTCCTCGTGGCTGGTGAACACAATGATCCCATCGATCAAGAAAAGCTTTATGTTCTCCCCTCCACACGTGATATGTGGGAAGCTGTGCGTGAGTCATATGGAGAGAACGGAAACATCTCACAAATTTTTTATATTCAGTATCAGCTATGGCAGGTCAAACAGAATGATAAATCCTTAAATGATTACTATCTTGAAAAAACCTCTCTCTAGCAGGAATTAGACTCTCTTACAAGTAAAGTCCACCATTGTCCTGCGGATGCTGCGACAGATCATAAAGAAAAAGAGACAAAACGGCTATTCAAGCTTCTTGTCGGGCTTAACTCGACTTATGATGATATCCAGGCCCGCATCATTAGTCAAGAGCCTTTACCATCCATCCGTGTAGCCTTTGCTATGCTACGAAAGGAAGAGTCTAGGTGTAAAACGATGTTGAGAGAAGAGTCTGTCCCTCGGGTTGATGCCCTTGAACCCTCTGCTTTTGCTGTTCGCTCAACTAAGCCACGCAACAATAAAAGTCGTCCTATGTGTGATCATTGCAAGAAACAAGGACATACCAAGGACACCTGTTGGGATCTCCAGGGTAAGCCTCCTGATTGGAAACCACAGAACAGACGAGGCTATGGTTACGTTAATGAGAAGAATGAAGATGTGACCACCTCACAGGTTACGCTTCTCAAAGTGACCTGTTAAACAAAATCCTCGAGATGCTCACTGCACTTTAGAATACCCAATAGCCTCGTAAGCAACCAATTGCTATAGTTGTCAAATGAGGTAATTTTCTAACAACTCTCACCACTATTAAGAGTAAATGCACAAGAAATTGGTGGATTGTCGACTCTGGTGCATCTGATCATATGACTGATGACAAAACCCTATTCACATCCTATGAGCCTACTACTAAGCGCCTTACAGTTAAAATTGCTAATGACTTTGATTCTGTTGTGGCTGGTATTGGTACTATTAGAGTTTCCACTGCACTTACTCTTCATTATGTTTTACATGTACCAAACCTTAAGTGCAATCTGCTATCTGAGAGTCAATTGGCTAGAGAAGAACGTTGCCATATTGACTTCTTTGCCATTTATTATTTCAGGATCTGCTGACAAGGACAACAATTGGCAATGCAAATGAGTTTGATGGCCTCTATTACCTAGATGAAAGTAAAGTAAGACATGTCCAATCCTGTAATAAAATGTCTCTTCCTAGGACTGGTGGATTGGAGCTATAGCACAAAGGGTTAGGTCATCCAAATTTTAATCATATGTCTCAAATGTTTCCTTCCATTTGCTCTAATAAAAATTCTTCTGAGTTTTATTGTGATTCATCTGAGAAAGCTAAACATCATAGAACTACTTTCTCTCGTATCCCATATCAAGAATCCAAACCGTTTAGCACTATTCACAGTGACTTACGGGATCCATCACACATTCCAAATCGAACAAAATCAAAATCGTTTATCACTTTTATTGATGACCACACACGAGTAAGCTGAGTTTACTTAATGAAGAGAAAACTGAGGTCCCACAGATTTTCATCAATGTTTATAACATGGTTCATACCCTATTTCAAACAAAAATCCAAATCCTTTACACTTTCTGCTTTCCTCACCTCTCATGGCATTATCCACAAAAGCACGTTTCCAGACAGCCCTCAACAAATGGCATTGCTGAGAGAGAAAATCGCCACATTGTTGAAACTGCAAGAGCAATCATGTTTAGATTTTCCGCCTCTTTTCGGTTCTGTTCAAAGGAACTCAGCAAATATGAGAATCCACCCAACAGCCCTCATGTCTGGCACTAACTCCCAAACACAAAACAATAGTTCTTCAACCTCTTCCACCTCAAAAACACCTGAAATAGTGTCTGATTTGTCATCTACCACTGAAACTCAAATTATGGTAATTAACCATAAACTCAATGGCAGCAACTACCTTCAATGGTCACAGAGTGTATTGATGTATTTGCGGGGAAGGAGAAAGGAGAAATACATTAATGGACAGGCCCCTCAACCTCTTCCTAATGATCCTACTTTTGACACATGGTTTGCTGAAAATAATCAGGTAATGACTTGGTTATGTAATTCTATGACTCTTGAAATTAGTGAAGGATATCTTCTTGCCAGGACTACCAAAGAGATATGGGATGCAGCTAAGCGCACATATTCCACCTTTGACAATACCGCAGCCTTGATCCAACTGAGAAAACAACTCAGAGATTTGAAGCAAGGTAACTTAACTGTGACCCAATATTATAGTAATCTTATGCAGATTTGGCAGCAACTTGATCTCTTTGAAGTTCACCCATGGAAGAATGTTGAAGATGCTCAGTACTATAGGCAACTGGTTGAAAAAGAACGAACCATTGAGTTCCTATTGGGGCTTACTGATGCATTTGAGGAAGTAAGAGGGAAAATTATGGCATTAAAACCCCTACCTTCCTTGTTTGAAGTCTTCAATATGGTTAAGTTTGAGAAAAGTCGAAGACAATTTACTCAAGGCAGTCAGATTCCTGGGGAAGGATCGGCCTTAATCACAAAAGGTCCACCATCAGCAGAACAAAATGAAAGGAAAAGCAACAAGTGGTGTAACCATTGCAACAAGAAAGGCCACACCAGAGATGAATGCTGGGAATTGCATGGAAAACCACCTAATGAAAAGCAGAAACAGCAACAAGATGGAAGACGCTATCAAGCATCCTCGGAGGGGAAAGGAGAAGAGGACGATCGCTTGACCAAGGAAGAACTGCAAGCACTGCGCAGAATCCTTGAAAAGCAGAACAAATCAAAAGCAATTCCTAATGTCAACTTGGTGCAATCAGGTAATTCCATTATAGCCCTTAATGCTATGGTGACTAGTGAAGACACTTGGATTGTTGACTCTGGAGTTACCGATCACATGTCTGGTAACAAATCCTTATTCACAAAAATTAAATATTATCATGAAAACCTTAGGGTGAAAGTGGCTAATGGCATATTTACAAAGGTAGAGGGAATTAGAATTGTTGTTTTATCTGATGATTTGGAAATATACAATGTGTTGTTCGTTCCTGCCCTCACATGTAACCTAATATCTGTGAGCAAATTGACTCACAGTCACAATTGTCGAGCCATTTTTTATGCTAATCACTGTATTTTTCAGGATTTGACATTGGGGAAGAGGATTGGGATTGCTGCTAAAGAATGGGATAGACTCTATTACCTTGAAGGCACGAGCATCAAGAATAAAGGAGCTGGAAAGGCGCTGGTTAGCTCTAAGTCTCATAATACTGATATACTCTTGTGGCACAATAGGTTATGCCACCCTAGTTTTAATTATATGAAGCATGTGTTTCCTCATTTCTTCAATAAAGATTCTATTCCATTTCAGTGTGAAACTTGCCAAATTGCAAAACAAACTCGATCCTCCTATCCTAAACAAACCTATAAATCGACTACCCCCTTCACAATAATCCACAGCGATATATGGGGACAAGCAAAGATTAAAACTTTGAGTCATACGAGATAGTTTGTTACGTTTATAGATGATCATACCCGAGTTACATGGGTTTACATGATGAAGGAAAAATCCAAAATCCTACAAATATTCAAAACTTTACATTCCTTTATAAAAAACCAATTTCAAAGCTCTATTAAAGTATTCCGAAGTGACAATGCCAAAGAATACCTTAGTGGATTATTTCGGGAGTTCCTTGATCAGCACACTCCCTTGATCAGTAGGGGATTCATCATCAAACCTCCTGTGTTTATACACCTCAACAAAATGGTGTGGTTGAGAGGAAGAACAGACACTTATAGCCCTTATGATGGAACGAAACATTCCGGATGTGTTTTTGGGAGATGCCGTGTTAACCGCAGCCTACCTTATTAACAGAATGCCATCCAAAATTCTTAACTTCCGTACCCCTATTCAACAACTTCTCGAAACCTATCCCAACTCACCTCTCATAACTTCTCTTCCCTAAAAGGTTTTTGGATGTGTTGTCTATGTATAAGCACGATGGAGGAAAATTAAGTGCAAAGGCCGACAGGTGTATCTTTCTCGGATACTCCTCTACTCAAAAAGGCTATAAATGCTATTGTCCCACTACCAGAAAACTCACCATCTCCAAAGATATTGTCTTCTACAAAGACGATGCTCATTACCCCAAATTACCCATTCAGGGGGAGAACATGAGCATAGAATGGCTAAATGTGGATTCTACACCCAATACACTCACTCAACCCCTCAACCTCCAGCTCAACCTACACTCACTCAACCACCTCAACCTCCAGCCCAACCTACACTCACTTAACCACCAGCCCAACCAGAAGTTCCAGAACCAGAACCAGTACATAACCCACCTACCTGCGACCACTACAAATCCACAAAACGCACCCCAAACTGAGGAGACTAACGCTGAGATTGAACTAGGGAAACTGAAGAGTTGAATCCTAGAACAGATAGAGAAGATGTTCAGCAGGATCAGGAAGACAACAACAATAGTAGAGTCCCTCTCATTCCAAGGCAACACCATGACTCCAACCCAATATCAGATCCTGAAAGTTGGCATGGCCTATTGCACTCAAAAGGGGGTAAGGGCTTGTACTCAACATCCTATTCAAAGATTTGTCTCATATGGCAATTTATCAACTAGAATGCAGAATTTTGTGGTGAAAGCTCACAGATCAAAGTACCAGATACATTTCAACAGGCCATGGCTAACCCTAACTGGAAACTAGCAGCAGCAGAAAAAGAGTTGAGAGCCTTAAAAGAAAACAACACATGGGAAATCACAGCTCTTCCCAAAGGCAAGAAACCAATAGGGTGCAGGTGGATTTTCACTCCCAAGTTTAATCCTGATAGAAGCATAAACAAATACAAAGCCAGGTTGGTTGCAAAAAGGTACACCTAGACTTACGGAATTGATTACTGAGAAACTTTCACACCAGTGGCAAAATTCAACACTATCAAAGTACTCTTGTCGATTGCTGCCAACTTAGATTAGTCTCTACATCAACTAGATGTGAAGAACGCATTCCTAAATGGAGACTTAGAGAAGTAAGTGTACATGGAAATCCCAAAAGGAGTATTAGCTCCACACAATTCAGTTTGCAAGCTCAAGAAATCTCTATATGGGTTGAAGCAATCTCTGCGAGCTTGGTTTGATAGATTCACTAAAGCTGTCAGAGAGTTAGGCTACAACCAAGGACAAGCTGATCATACTCTTTTTGTCAAGCATGATAATGGAGGAGTAACTGTCCTAATTGTGTATGTAGATGACATAGTCATTTCAGGGAATGATGAGGAATCTATCGTCCAACTAAAGAAGGCCTTGGCGAAAGAATTCCAGGTGAAGGATCTAGGACAAATGAGGTATTTCCTCGGAATGGAAGTAGCAAGAACTAGAAAAGGTATCAATGTGTCTCAGCGAAAGTATACATTGGATTTGCTCCAAGAGACAGGAATGCTTGGCGCAAAACCAAATGAAACTCCCATGAAGATTCATGTAATCTTGAAGTCAAACCAGAAGGAGTACCAGTTGATTCTGAAAGGTACAGAAGACTTGTGGGAAAGCTGATAAACTTGACTCATACTTGACCGGACATCAGTCATTCGGTTGGAGTAGTAAGCCAGTTCATGCACCAGCCTCAGGAAGAGCACATGGAAGCAGTGTACAAAATCCTAAACTACCTCAAACTCAACCCCAGAAGAGGAATCTACTTCAAAAAGGGAAGCGTAAGGAATATAGAAATCTACACAGATGCCAATCATGGGAGGTCTATAGATAATAGAAGATCAATTACAGGGCATTGTACCCATGTTTGGGGAAATCTTGTTACCTGGAGAAGCAAGAAACAAACAGTGGTGTCCAGAAGTAGTGTTGAGGCAGAGTTAAGAGCAGTGGCCCTTGGGGTGTGCGAGGGAATCTAGCTAATCAAACTTTTGAAAGAGCTAAAGATTCCATATGAAGGACCACTAAACCTGTGGTGCGACAACAAAGCAAGTATTGAGATGACAAGAAATCCAGTGTATTACGATCGGACGAAGCATGTGGAGATTGACAGGCACTTTATTAAAGAAAAGACAGAGGGTGGCATCATTAATTTGGGCTATGTACGTTCAGCAGATCAGATAGCAGACATCATGACCAAACCTCTGGCCAGAATTAAGTTTGAAGGGCTTCGAAGCAAGATGGGAATGATTGACATATACTCTCCAGCTTGAGGGGGAGTGTTAGATAAAAGCCCATGATCCTATCCTGATTGTTAGCCTTGATTATAGGAGATTTTAAAAGGATACTTTCCCATCTTATCTACCTAGATTATCTTCTTTGATTTTGGTTCATTAATATTGATTGTGATCACCGGATTATTCTCCTCTTAGTGAGATAACCGGATGCCTATATATTGTAACACTTTCTTATCAATAAGACACACGAGTGAATCATTCAGCATAGCAAACAGTGATAATACTTCTACAATCAAAATTATAAAAAATCTTGTACACAATGACAGGATGAAGCATGCTAAATTAGATTGTCATTTTATTAATGAAACTATTGAAGACAAGAAAGTCAAGGTCATGTATACACCATCAAAGCGACAATGTGCTGATGTATTGACAAAAGCGTTATTTGCAGCCAAGTTCAAAGATCTCACTAGCAAGCTAGGATTGATGAACATCTATTTTCCAACTTGAGGGGGAGTGTTGAATGATGATATTCAAAGGCCCAAGCCCATTAGGGCTCATTAATCCAGTAATTTATTTAAGCTGTTTGTTACTATTGTTATTATTCTTAAGAGATTTAGGAGATAAAATCAGAGCAAATATAATCTGATTTTATATATAAGATTACTTTTTTATACAGAATTAAGTAGATTAGATATTTTGAACTATTTTCTTTTCCGATATGTATGGACGAAGTACCTCAGTAAAGTTTTCAAGCTGAGAAATCAATTGCTCACTCGATCCTAATATCTTCAGATAGTATCCTCACTAGCTCAATAGTTATTCATGAAAAGGTACGATCAGCATCGCAATGTTAAACATGGGAGTTATGAACCCACCATTTGTATTAATCTGAAAATTGAAAAAGCAAATCTATTCATAATCCCCACAGCCATGAGATTAGTCCAGCAATAATGCTTCATTTATTAATAAACCACAAAAAAGTTGCAAATAAGAAAATTAATTTTTAAGCCTCATTGTTATCAAGCCACGACCTAATTCAGTATAAGGTTTATATTTAGATGCTCATTATATGACTACCCTTCAAGTTTAGTATTGCCAAGAAAAAAATTGTATTTTGCCCAATCAATACAAACAACACAAGCTTGTAAGTGGAGAAAGTTTAGAATTATGTCAAACCGAATCTGGATATTGAATAGTTCGATAGCAGCGCCCACTTTTGGCTTCCCAAAAACGAATAGTGTGATCATAACTTGCTGTTGCAAGTATCACCGTTGGCTGGGTCATTGTACTCTCCCAACCAACATTTAGCAACCTAATAGAGAAAATACCAAACAAATAAAAGCAGTAAATTTTGGCCCAAGAAAGAAACCAATCAAGATAACATCTCCAAGAATAAGTCAGAAATTCTGGTGAGTACGAGCATAGGATTGAATAAAAATTAGCTTGCATATTAAGTTTGCAATAGCAATAAAATTAGGAATATGGTTCCAGGGAAAAAAAATTACTAGCTCTGGCCTATAATATAATAGCAAGATAACTAATTTGGAAATATTAAGGAAATTAGTTAAGTTGGTTAATTGTAACAAATGTGTGTTGACTTCCCTAAAGTACCCTCTTTTATCATGTGCATTGAATTTATTCCTTGGTGGGAATTCCTTACCATCAATAGGGATAACTTTAGAGAAAATATTATAGATTTGAGAGACAAAATTGATTGAAGTCTCATATTTAAGACAAAATCAAACTCCCTAACTAGCTCTTATATTAATTAAAGACTAGAGGTAGTATAAGTACTGTACTGTGCAAAGATAATTCTTTGAAGGTTATCATATTGGCTCAGAGACAAAGCTTGAAAAACCTACACTTGCTCCCTATTATCAAAAACTTGGTTTCTTCTATCTGTAAAATTTTAAATTTCTCAAGGTCATGCCAATGTAGAATGATACATATGCGGTGACAAAATCTGCAAGTGACCAAAAAAATATTTAACTCCATTGGCCTGCTGCCATGTTATAGAATGTCTAACCAAACCCCAGACCAACCCAGAAAGCCAGGCTCACCAGGGGTTTTAGTGACCGTCTTTCAAATAGAATGGAACAGGTTATTTAAGAAATAAGGACTAGGAAGCAAATTATCAACTCAAGACTCAAGATCAATTTGCTAGGCATGTCATCGTCAGTATCACCATATGTTGCCATTTGGATGCTAGCCATATCACATTGCATGAGTAAGAAAGAGATTTCATCAACCACAAGATTTATATATATATTTTTCCCGGTAGCTACTAATTATATTTGGACATGTTTTACTTACAGTTTGCTAACCCTGACCTGGAGTTCCTAGGAAGACAGATCATTATAGTTCATCAAAGCCAAACCGCCTTCCTTCCCATTAATAGAAATCGATAGAGATTTATTCCTAGACAAAGTTATGTAGGATACACAGAAATCACTGTGTGTGTGTGTATATATATATATATATATATATCTCATTAAATACCTAAACTTGGACAAATGAGCTTCAGCTTAATCGTATTGCATCGTAAATTCCGGTCACCAAATTAAGAGGGGATTTAAAAAACTAAAAATGGAAGTATCAAACTCACTTCAAACATTAAGGCTTCAGAAAGGTCCAATTTTCTATTATTCTTGTATTCTTTCTTCTTCCTCTTGTACTACAAACTTATGGAAGATCAAGAATCCTCCTAAAATACTCACCTGAAAATTTAGCCTACTAAAAGAAACAAAAAAAAAAAAAGATAAATTTTGGCCATTGCTTTCACGGTGACAAACTTGTAACATTCATCCCTCTTAAGCTTTGACTCAATTCCCATAAAAATATATGCATAAACCCGCCCGCTGAGACTAACTAATGCACTTCAATCTTTAAGTTAATTCCTTGTTCGGCATCCGCTGTTCATAAGTATAATTGAATGATAAACTATACAGCCATTTGAAATTCCAATTAAGATATACCTGACAACGCACCTTGGAGCTGCGATCCTTTTTGACGAAGGCCGACGGGAGAAGGGTCCAGCAAAAAAGCCTAATGCTGTGGCGGCGAATCAGGATTACTACACAAGTCTGCAACTTATGAAGTTCGAAGGAGAAGAAGCAGATGGAGGGCGGGATCAGCCCCTGCAGCGGAATCCGTCCGCCATCAACGCGCTGGTGGTGGCGGCACTGCCCTTCTTTTTCTCCGTGAGTATTAAGGAACGCGCCGTTTTATGATTTTGGGAGAATTAAAGCCACGGCCGAAACCCGTCTTCCAGTGCAAACAGTAAAAATAGAGGCAAATTTGGGGGGGGGGGGAGAAAATCCCATAAACAAACCATTAAAATGTATAAATGACAAATTAGGTGCTCAATCTGCATAATACCATATCAGGTTAGGTGACCCAATTTGAAATATTAAAATATTATGAAAAGACAAGAGTGCCCCAAACTTAAATAGAAAAGAGGTTGCAGTGCGCACAAAAACTTTAGCACACTCGCAAGGGAGAGAACATGATGGGAGCGACTAGTGGGAAATAAAGCAAGAGTTCGGTAAGTGAATATTCAACATTAATCTTCCTCTCTTAATCTTGTGATCCCTATGTCACTATTTTTATGGGTTTTCATCGGTCTGTTTGATGGTTTTGGTTGGTTGGTAAGGATTTTAGGTTGAGAAAGAGGTGAAACGAGTAACATTAAATTGATGGGAGGACATATATCTTTTCTATTGGTTTTGCATTATTTTGATTTGGGCAAACTGAAACCTTTATATATACTTGTTGTTTATTGTCTGATATAGGGCTTAGGTAGATTATTCATGAGGAATCTTCTATCGAATTTGCGTGGTAGTAAAATTTCATATTATTAGTGAGGATAGGGAATAGGGGAAGTGTGTTCACAACAGGTAGTGTGTTGTGCTCAATACCTAATTTGAAGTTGTTAACGAGCATGGGTGGGGAACTGACATTTTGATAAATGGTGTCGCGCCTGAATCCTAGTCATCCCACAAAAAAGAAAGAATGAGGAGTCGCCGTCAAAATTTTAAAAGATTAATTTTGAAAACCTAAAAAATATGGTCTATAAAAACCAAATAGGATTCAGGAGTTGATTATGTGTGGGAAAAGTGTTAGGCACCCCACAACACTCATTCAAAAAAACGGTTACCCTAAGTCAATTACTCAAAATTAATATGACTTTTTTATTATATTTTAATGACCCTAAAAAAATAAAGATAGAAACAAAGAAAAAAATTTTATTTACAAAAAGGGAAAAAAATAAATTTTTTATAAAGTTGGACTTGACCCAGCCTAAAAACCTAGGGTCTACGTACCCTTTAGAGGGATCAAAACCCATATAGTTCATGGATAAAAATACGTGTCACTTGATTGGTATTTTTTAAAAAATATTTATTCAATTAAAAAAAGATGTTTTTTATGGGTTGGTATTTTTTTATATATGAAAACAGTTTTTGTATTTTTATTTAGAAACTATTTTTTAAAAGAAATTTTGGATTACTCTCCCTGCAGAGGGTCCCATAACCTCATATAGGAGAATAATTATTCAAGCCTGTGAAGGTTCTAAAACCCTCACACAAAAAACATTTTGAGATTATATATATATATTTAAAAAGGGACTTTTCATTTTATTGTTTATTTATAAACATGGGCCAAATTTATTTTCTTTCTTTTTATTTCAAAAAGTAAATTTGTACAACCACATTAGTATTCCTGCAGAGACTCCCATATTCTCACACGGTTTATCAATGAATCTAGATACCTGCGAAGGTTCTAAAACCCTCACATAGTATGGATTTGAAAAAGAAAGCACTTTCGAAAATAAAAAGAAAGAACACTCAAAAGTAATTCAACATGAAACTTAAGTTAAACATAATAGATAAGAATGAAAATTCATATTTGATGCTCCACTTATCAATTGGCTAAAAAAAGAAAAAAGAATACATTATATGATAAGCCAATAATTAGAAAACTATATATATATATATTAGCAAAATGACAGGGATGAAAACAAAATAAATATAAATAAAAAAGGAAGAAAATAAATATCAAAGTGAGTACATATGGGAGATAATAGATGAGGGCATATTTCAAACAAATCAAAGAAAATGGGAGTAGTGAGAATTAATTCAAATCATATTTGCTTCAACTCTCTAGCCATCAATGTTTAGGCTCACAAATGTGATAATAACCACAAGAACATAGGCTTTCCTTGGGTAGAAGAAAGAAAGAGATAAACAATGGACTTTCCTCTAGTCTCTACCTTGCCTTCTTTTTCATCGGAAAAATTCTGAGTGTCTTCCTCCAACCCTCATTCTTTTATTTATAGGCTCTACCTAGGGTTTTCTAATTTTTTTCTTACTTTCATTTTTTTTAATTTTCCTCAATTATGACTCCTAATATAGCTTCCTATTTAAGCACCAAATCATCATCAAATTGTGATTTTTTATTTTAATTTTTTTCAAATTTTCATAATTATAATCCCAAAACATATTTCTAAATTGAGGAGTTAATCATCTTAAATAAGAAATTTTTATTTTTGAACTTTTTATTTTCTTCTTTTTAAAGACTCCATCTCGTATTTCCTAATTTGAAGGTCAATTGATTTTTAATTCTTATCTTTTATTTTATTGCCATTCATTGTAAGAGAGATATTTTTATTTAATTTTTCTTTTTTTTTATTTGCCACATGTTGGATTTCTCTAACTTAGCTTCTAAGAAAGAATCAAGGAGGATATTAATCTTTTATTTCTTTTTTATTTATTTCATTTACATTTAATATTTCTTGTGGGGCCCAAAAAAATTGGGTGTTCACAAATGGTTAATTATTTTTTGCAGGTTTGGATGCAAAATGGCATCTAACTATAGGTCAACATCTTCGAAGAAACTATTTTGTTATTGGAGGAAGATTTGTGAATAGTGATGAAGGTAGAATTCAATATGATTAGGGAAGTGTGAGGTTGAAAACAATAGAAGAAGGGATGAAACTTGAAGATTTAAAAGCAATAATATCATCACGGCTTGGGATTGACTATAATAGTTGTGAGATGAAATATGCTATGAGCTTTGATGAGAGGACACTAACAGATCTAATTGATGATGGTGAACTTGAAAACCGTTTTCAATATAATGATAGAAGTAGTCATATGCATATGACATGCAAAGAGAATGAGAATGTACCAAACATTACGAATGATCCACAAATGTAAGTATAAATTTGTTTGGTTTATTAGTTGTCATTACTTATAACATTATTGTTAATGGGCTAACATAAGTTGTCATTTTTAATACAGCATTGAGAAATTCTTAGTACTTTTACAATAGAAGTCTCTCCCTCAAAGCAGTATGGAAAATGGCTATCAACTGGGTGTGTTATGAAGATGATGTTGGATGCCTAACATATAAAGCTAACGAGGGACATTGCAACCTATAATGTGTAGTAGAGAGTACACCTAATCTTATTCCTCATATGAACTCTATGAAATAGAGGGAATTATTTTTAGGATTGATGCAAACTTTTAGAAATGTTGATGAATTCAAAGAGACATTGTACAAATTTAGTTCCACATAATTTTGAGTTCAAATATGTGAAAACCACAAGATATCTATGAGATGTAAAGTTTTTTGTTGTCCTTAGCATATAACAGCTAATGGGGTGGGAAAGAACAGTCTTATACTATGTGTGACAAAATTCATAAATGATCATGCTCATAATGCTAAAGATAATCTCCAAGTAACTCATAGTGGAAGATCTACCTTGACATTATATATCATAATTGAGATTAGGAACCACCCAAACAAACATCCAAAAGAAATCAGAATTTGCAAAGGGATTATGGTGTCAATCTACACTACCAAAAAAAAAAACAAGCTATAGCACTTATTTCTTTTTTCTTTTTAATCTTTGTAGCGTTTTCAAAATGCTACACATGAATCTACTACAGAAGGCAAGAAGAACAAGCTAGTGCTAAAGAATATTTTTATAAATTTTTAATTAGCTACAGAAGGCAAGTTTCCTCTAGCCCTTCCTTGGGGAAGCACTACAAAAGGTTGCTTTCTTATAGCGCTTACCTAGGGAAACACTACAGAATGTACATATCTGCTGTAGTTTATTTGTGTTTCTGTAGCTTTTTTTTAGCGAGGCGCTATAGATGCAATTTTCATTTTAAAAAAAATTAACTAATATTCTGTAGCTTTTTTTTTTTTAAAAGAAAGCTATAGAAACTTTTTTTCCAAAAAAAATAAATATTTTTATATAATTCTTCTAAACCATTTATAGCAGCTTTACAAATAAATTTATCATCAACAACAAAATTCAAAAAATAAATATAGACAAATATCTACAAAAAGCACAATTAAATAATTATAAGTAATTATAAACTAACTTATATATCTAATTCTACAATGAACAACATATCTAACAATCTTGATTACACTTATTAATGTTATACTCTTGTCAAGCTCTTAACTAATGCCAAAATATAAAGGAAAGGTCAAGGACCAATCTACTTATCTATTAAAGCATTATTGGAATACATATCTACACCATTCTTCAGTGACTTCATTTACTTTGTCGTTAATATACTTTGCGTACCATGCATCTTCATAATACTGCTCTCAATAGTTTACACAACAAATTTAAATCCCTAAAAGTTAACTATTGGACAATAATTAATGTTAAAAACATAGAAAGTGAAACTAAAATTACTTATATTGTGAAGAATATGTGTGGGGACGGGGACTCTGTGTGATAGGGGTAGAAGAGAGATGTGGGGATAGGAGAGTAATATGGGGTTGGGGATGGTGAACTTGGGTGGGGAATATAGTAAAGGCAAGCTGTGGGGTAATAGGGGTGAGGGCGAGAGTTAAAAATTAAAAGAAATAGAGGTATAGGGTCTATTTGTTGGTGGGGTTAGGGATAAGGAAGAGAACAAGAGATGAGTGTACGCAGGATACAGAGAGAAGGAGAAGACTGAAAAGAGAGAGAGAGAGGAAAAGATAAAAGAAAAAGAGGGAAACAATATTTTAAAAAAATTCCTATTGTAGCATTTATTGAGCTAAAATGTTATAAGACGTTTTTCATTTTTTTTTCAGTTGTCTTAGTGCACCTGTTGTAGCATTTTTTTAAAAAATTCCTCTAGCACTTTGTTCAATAAACGTTATAGGATGATTTAATTTTTTTTAAAAAAATATAAATACC